AAAAAAGTGCGTCTTATACACCGAAAAATATGGTAATTTTTATTTCTGTTCTGTGCTGGAACAAATTTAATGATACATAATTAGTGCTATTTTTTATGAAAGACAAAAATTACATAATCTTACTATATAAAGACGAAAAGTCGTATCATGCTGGTATGTTGGCCATTGCAGTATTGATTTACACACAACTTGCATGAAGCAAGTTTGTCTTTTTGAAATTAATCCAGCCATATCTACACAAAATGGATGATGCACTACTTTGAGCATATAATTAGATTCAAGATCAGGTTGGTAGCGATCATGATGAGTATTTAAACCAAACTGGTTATATGCACACCTCACACTTGACATTGCTGGCACACAAGAGGATCATAATCATTGGTTGAAATTTCCCATTACATGTGCTTGGTTGTCAAGGAGACACAATTATGCAACATCACCAAATCTAATCAGAATCCTCTACACATTTCAATTTTGAAAATGCCCAAATTCAAGCACATTTCTTCAGCTCAGCAGGCTAACAAAGTAAAACCAGGAAGTCAGTCCAAAGAGAAGATCCCAAAATTCATAATAAAAGTCACTGCCTTTACCATCAAAATTAATAATTTACAGGGTCATACAGACGACCAAGTAATCAGTGTTTTCACATTTCAATCTGTAAGGATTTATCAAGAAGAAAATTTGAACACAAGTTAAAAATATACATAAGTCAAAATGTTAATCATGCAATACCTAAAGGATATGACCAAATATACATTAAAACATAGTTTTCATGAAATACTAGAAATAGAATAGTCTTTCTCTATACGTATATTGTTACTAGACTATAATTAATTTTTAGAAAACATGTTCATAAAACATTTATTTAGATATAATTTTGAGAAGAAAAATGAATCATTATTTCCCATCATAGGATGGACATTCAGCTTGTTAATAATAATTAACAACATTTTACTGCTGTAAAGTGGCAAAAAAAGACAAGATACAAAAACTAAATGTTTTTTGATGAAATGAATAATATGACACTGAGATTATTACAAACTTTCCATGCATGTTTTAATAAATAACAGCTTCAAAAATTGAGAAAGAGAGAAAGAGAAAAAAGTGACAGTGTAAAAATATTCCTTTTCTAACTTTCTTAAAATTGGCAAACATGAGGCACAGATTCTTAAAATCTAGTTTAATAATAAATCTACCTCATCAGTAACAAAAACATCAAAATTAAATTAAAATTAACATTATGACAGTATTCAAGAAAAATTCTTTTTGTTGTAGACTTTTATTTCTGTTTTCTGTTAAAGCCTATACAATTTGTTACATTCATAGATATATATTGGAAAAAAAACAAAATAGTTGTCAACATTTGAAACACAACATACCATTGCCCAGAGAGATCCCTCAGATACAGCCTTAATTGTAGCAGCACGAGGCTGATTATACATCAGTGCCAGTTCACCAAAACTTCCAGTATTTTCATATTTGCCTACAAATTTATCATTTTCTTGATCTGTGTCTACATGGATGTTATAAGTTCCACTAAATAAAACAGAGAGATAAAAATTAGGCAAAATAGTGTGAAGTATGAATAAAAACTGAATAATATGTACAGCTGATTGAACCTTGTAACTGAATACTTAAGTTTAATTTTTTTAAATATAAGTAAGAAAAAACTAGTAATATTTCAACCAAGCAGCCTATTATGACAAGACTGTCAACTAACAGTTTTTAATCAATCAATACTTTATTATCTTTATCTTAAAATCTTACATGAAAGGACAGAAACATACAAAAAAAAACTTAATCTTTTGTTTAGCATATTTTACTTCCATAGGTTTACTTGAATAAATCTGGTAAATCTAGTTAATGAATAAAATTTACTAATCTGTAATGTGAGTTTTTGTTACCTCATTGAAAAACCTACTATTTTGTTTCTTGAATGAATTCACAGAGGTTAAAATATTTCAAAGCCACTGTTTTCATTATGCGTAACGTATTTTGTTAGAACTAACCTTTGTATAACGTAGAAATAATCTCCATCATCTCCTTGACGAATGACAACATCACCACCATGAACCTGGAAGTCAACAAAACAACAAAATAGAGAATTTAAATAACAGTGCAATAGCACTGTTACAATTTGAGAAGTTTAAGATAACAAAAATATAAAGTAAATGCTTAGAAAAGTTAAGTTTTTTCTAAAATACTTATTACCTTTACGTTTATTGTTTATGATTTCTTTTTCAGGAGTAAAAAACCCAAATAGAGAGAGATTTATTTTGTGACCTTAATATTTCTACTAAGGTGAAATCTTAATTACTATATTGTTTTAATTCAAGAAGAAGTTAAACAAGCTATACAATTATCTTTACTATTTCTGCAGGCTTAGACAGAACAAATGTTTCAGAAACAAAATTACCTCTGCATACACTTTAAAAAGCAGGCTCAATGATCAAGTTTACTATGTGTAAAAAATACAATGTAATATTGTAAAAATACAAAGTAATATTATTTCAACACTTTAAATGATCATCAAATTTTACTTTTCCATAACTATAAAGAATCCTTAAGTACATTACGGTAAAATTTTCTATTTGTTTGTGCATGCACATGTACTTGCTGACATCCTTACAAACCACACGTACAACTAAAGGTCATAAGCTTGTGCTAATCCTTGCATGAGCCTGTTTCTGTGTTATGCCTTCCTGTAGTAAGAGCATACTTAATTTTGAGGAAGTTGTACAGAGACTTATATTAATTGTTAAGAGTTGGAAGTAGAGCTGGGTGATTATTGGAATTTGTTAATGAATTAATTGTCAGGTTCATTAATCAGTTACATGCAACTAATCAATTATTCTCATACAAGATTTAGATAGTTGGAATAATCAAAAGTAGTAATAATCAGAAACACTAATTTCATTAGTTGATTATATTCATAATATTAATCAAGTTAATCATAATTTGATTGATTATTTTACACATGACACTAATCAATGTAATTGATGCTCATAGGGAATCAATTATATTGATTAATCATCCAACTTTAGTCAGAAGTTTCTTTCTTTTGGAAAGGTATAACGAGAATGATAATTCACACAAGTTATTTTAGGATTGTAAAATCTGTGCATGGACTTTGTTTTCCTTGAAAGTATTGTATCATGATAATTCTGATTTCCGTTTTCCTCTTATGCAGATGTTTTTCTCTCCTGTTCTAGAACTCAGAACCTAATCAGTTTTAAGGCATACTGTTTATGAATAAATATTGTATACTTTCATTTATTTTTCATACATTTCTTTGCTGTCCATGTTTGAAATTATTCTCTGCATACTATTTGTTAAGTCTGCTATATTGTGAACATTTATAACTTTCTGTCAGATATGTGTTCCTGAATATCAAATTATTATTCAAAGTAAATGTAAGTAAACAAAAAACACAATTTATGAAAATTAAAGAAAATATATTATAATTAAAAAGTTTGGTTGACTATAATACCTTTTTTTCAAACATGGCATCCAATAATTCCTGTACTTGTTCCTGGTATAAAAAAATAAAATAAAACAAATATCTCATTATCTAGGCCAATAGACGAATGCTACCTACACAAGGTGTACATAGTTTTGTGTTTGTTTTTACAAACAGTGCTATCCTGAGAACTTAACATATATATTCTGTTTCCAAAATATTTCACATGCATTTAATTTTGAAGGCACTGTTGTGGACGAGTATTAATTGATTCAAGTATTACACTTAAGGAATATTGAAAATTGAATAAGCCTTTTTTTTAACATAAAGTAATAATCTAAATATTTCACCAGTTTTTCAAAAAGTTCAGGTGATATATATCTATTCTATTATTATTA